CCCCCACCACCTCAGGTGCCACTTTTCTGGTCTTCAAAGGAGCTACACTGGGATCCTAATTTTTTTTTTTAAGTTGGGATATTCTGATTGCAGATCTCCATTGCTGCTATTTTGACCCATAAACTACACAATACACTGTATGATCCGTGACTTTAAAAAGATGAAACACATGCTTGGAACCATACTGGATCTCCAGTGCTTTCTTCCCTCATACATAACATTACAGGAGGCCCCATTCCGAATCAGGACCATATTCAACACAATAGTGCTGAAAGAGATGTAACCCCTTTTCTCTCATGGCCTGTATGGTGTCTGTCAGTTTCCAGTATTGGAGAAAATACCTGTTCAAGAGTGGGGGGAAATTTAAGGTTAGAAGAACAGGTTGGAACAAAAGAGTTCATATCCTACACGGCAGTCTCAGTCTGTATCCTGGCCTGTACAAAGGAAAAACAAGCTGGAGATTTGAACAAAGATTTTCCAGTATCTCATCCAGTTTGGCCTTTGGGAGGCTACCAATTTAATCACATCAGAGGTGCTGGAAGAGGGTGCTGGATTAATTATTTCCCCAGGGGCTGCTTTTACAGTCAGAATCTGCTCTCAGTATTTGTCCACCTATGGACTGCTTTTCTCAAGGAAATCCCATGCTTTTTCCTGCTATTGGAGAAACGGGGGGGGGGGGGGGGTGATTGCAAAAATGGTCCTTTGGGAAGAATTAATCAACTGCTCCTACCACTTGTGCTGCAATCATATTCATTGCCTCGATCAAAAGTATCAGGAGACTGATATGACTCTCCTAGCATTCATGTGTAGTTTGAACCTTAAGTACTTGGGGAAATGGTGAGACCAGTGAGGAAGACTGAAATGTGGTGATTGTATGGCAGAATAATAGGAATGAAACCCTAGCATTGTCATGTTGGTGCACTGAAAGGCTTACAGATGGTTCATTACTTTTCAGAGAAAGAAAGGCTAGGAAGACTTTATCCACAACAAATGATCAGTCTCTGACAACACAGGAGAAGCTTGTCCAGATCCTTGCAACAGTTCATTTCAGGTAACTGTTACAGAAGTAATATTCTAGTTGGGAACAGAGAAAATATTGTTTAAATGTATTTTTCGTAACTAGAAGTCAGCAGCTTGGCTGACATTCCTAGGCAACCTCCCTCCCATGAACAGGCTATGAAAGAATCCCCTTCACTGCATGCTGTTTCTCAGTCCATCCTGCCTAATCCCAGTCCTAACCCAACCCCCACACTTTTCTCTGCCTCCTAACTCCAGATTGGTCCCCACAATCCAACCCCATGCTTCCTCCTGCTTTCACACATACAGTCTGATGAAGTAAACTCTGACTTGCAAAAGTTTAGGTTGATATAAATTTTGTAATTATTTAAAGTACCCTTGGGTTCCTGTTTCATTAATTTCCTACAGTTGCCCTCTCCCACCCTCACATATCTCTTACCCCGCTCAACTTCATCCTCCATCTGTGTCTCTTCCCTTCTCCTTATTGCATGTATGTTCCTGGCAAGGCTTCATTGCCGCCACGACAAGGAAGGATTTGTGGCAGAAGTAAGTAAAGCCCCGGATTGAGTTCTTCTAAGTTTACTCACTTATTCATCTTGCAGTAGCATAGGAATTAGCAATAGCTAATGCTGGATTCTATTACCCAAGAGGATCCATCTCTGCCATGCTTATTATAGTTACACAGTACAGGTAAAATGTACTTATGTGGTGTTGTAATTCTATGACTGTCTCTGTTAAATATCCGTGGTGCATGAAGTGCAAATCTTACTCCTTCAACACATAGATCACAGGAGCAATTTGAATATTAATGGATGCAGACATTCCAAGAGGACCAGTCACATGCTTCATGCTAGAGTAAACATAGCCATTAAATTATAATAGTACTCAAGAGGGAGGAGGCAGGTGGATTGCCAGGAATAGCAAACCTGAATCATCCAGGATGTTCCTGCAGCTTCACATGGCCAATGACAGCTTGCATCAGGGCCTTACACAAAATCATCCCCCCAAAAAAGTGCTCAAAAGGAAATGCCTTCCTGTCCACAATCAAAAGTAAGAATCAGCAGAGAGCCAGGAGAAGGGATGATATAAACCAGCTGCTGTCCAAAGAGTTTAGGGTGGACAGAGATGGCTGAATGGCAGAGGAGGAACTCCAGGTGGAGTTGCAGTTTGTATTGAGGTTTGTGCCTCACTATGATCTTCTGCAAAGGCAACTCCAGCTTAATGATATTGTAGAAAATATTTCTTTCTTCCATAGGACTTTTATATATAGTTGCATGATTTTTAAAAATAGGTTTTTGTAATTTGATAGGTAGTAAGTTGGTCCTGATTTCTGTTAATAGTGAAAAATAGCCATGGATCTACAAATGGATAAGCTGAAATATGACATAATTAACTTTGATGGTGCTGTGTATAAAGAAGTAGGTGTTGATGTTCTGAAGATGGGGATAATATCACTGTATTTGAAAAAGTCAGCAATAAGAGAAATAAATGTGTTAGCACGTAAAATGTGTTAGCTTTCCGTCTAACTACAGCAAGAGCCAGTTCTGTAGGGGCAATGTGAGGTGCTAATGCGTTAGCTTCCCGCCCGTCTAACTACAGCAAGAGCCTGTTCTGTAGGGGCAATGTGAGGTGCTAATGGACAAGGACCTCCATGGCTGCTTCCACTACATTTCTGTTCCTAGAATACTGCAGAAATCAGGTATTTCTCCTCAAAGGACAAAGAAAAGATACAGCTGTGTCCTTTGAGGAGAAATGTCCTAACATGCAAGAAGAATCAGTTATACATCTATTGTGCTAGATGCTGGTCAAACAATGCATTGACAGTGATTCCCAAGTGGTAGCACCGGTTTGACCAGTGAACAGACCCATGTTATTTTCATGACAGCTGACATAGCAATAATGCTGTACCTCAAGGTCAGCAGTTCTTGGGGAAAGGACTCGAAAATGGTCTAGGAGTGTGATTGTTTGTTGCAAGTGGAAAGATAAAGCACACAAAGGTCAAAACACCCTTGGAGATCGGCAGTGTTGAATGTGACGTTCTCTCTGTTTCTTTTGTTTGTTTTTGCTTTGTTTTTGCAGCGTGAGTGGCATTATAAAATGAATGTCAGTGACACGGAAGCAAGCTCTGTGCTGAAGAATTTGCTCCAACTTTATGTGCAACAAAGGGATAGAAAAAGTGTCCGGTGCTGTAATTACACAAACCCCTATGTTCAGGAGCAGGAAAATATCATGGCATCTCTATTCATCCTGATTATTGTTGGGTTTTTTGGCTTTCTTCTCTTTGCTTTGATGCTCAGCAATATTGTTTTCAAGAAGCAGGAAAATTACATGGACTGTGTTTATCGTGAGACACGGCAGACAGCTGGAAGAAAAATATCACATGAAGACAAATTGGCTGTCCTCACAAAGAGTTTTACTTCAAAGCTAAGCCATAATGACCAATGTCAAAAGACTGTTAGCTTCAGCACAGCACCCGAGGCTTCAAGCACAGAGTCAGTCCTGAAAAGTGTATGAAAATATACTCCAAATGGAGCCTGATGCCCTATGAACTCTAGGCACTTCTGTTGCTTACAGAAGTATAGGACTAAGAGCCTGGACCAGTTCTCTGTGAAGCTTAGATTTTGCAAGGCAAGCTTCCCACTCGCAGCTGAAGATAACAGTCCTGTCCTCCTGAACAGCACTAACGTATTCCTGTACCAGCCCTGTGCTTTCTGGTGGGAGACCAGTAATCAAGCCCAGACATGCAGGATCGTTTTATATTCTTTTCAGCCTTTTTTTAATATGTACTGTGTAGTTCATGGAAGAAGAAAACTATCTCCTTCCTTATATTTTTTTACTGCGCCATTGTGAAGGCTAGCATTTTTTCTAGCCATGACCTGGCCATTCTGGGCATTAACATGGATGGCTTATTTATTTATTATTGTTCAGCACTGATGTTTATGCTCCATGAGTCAAAATAAAGAGAGATAAACTGTCCTAAGAGGAGGTCCGCATTGTCTCAGGGGAAAGTGAAAGAGCAGAGATAACATGTAGTTGACTCACACTAAAGCCCATATTAAACTTAGGGCAGAATTACACACAGGAAAATGAGAGGTGTTTCCTTGCCTCTACTTCACATCATGGGCTACTGGTGGCAGAGATGGGAATCATGATGCAGATCCAAACAAGCCTCAAATGGGATTGTGTTTGTTGAGTTGTTGTTGAGTTAACCCCCAAGCTGTTATAGGGTTGTGTGACGAACTAGCCCAGCTCCCTCCCTCAGAGGCAAGATTTTCTCTCCATTTTTTCCTCTGTCTTTCTGACTGAGCAGCCCTATTCATTGGTTTTCTTCTTTTCTGAAGAACTATGGCTGTCCCATCCTAGAAAGTATGAAATTTTGCTGCTGGCTCAGCCCAGGAACCTGAGGGAAGGATCAAGATCCTTCTTCAACTTAAACTGCTGAACTGCTCAACTGATGCTAACCAATCAGATCTCTTGGAGCAGCCTGATACTCAAGGCTCTCTGGGTCTGTGAGGAGTTAACCCTTCACAGCCCATTACCTGTTTACACAGCACTTCTGAGCTTCTAAAAGTGCAATCCATCATAGGCTGCTTCTATTTATGAGTTAATTAGGGAAAATACATGGCCCTGATGCCCTTGCCAGTCATACAAAGCCATCCCCCAACTACTAGGGGAGATCACAAAGTGCTACTTTACTACATGAAACAGTTTTGTCCTACTTCACTTATTCATCAAGAGGCACTGTAGATTAGTTTATAGATATCTAAAACCCTTTTTAGCACAAGGGATGTTCCATGCTTTAAATCTCTGAACAATGACTGTATATATGTAGATGTTATTTTCCCCTGCCCCACGTTTTTAAAAGTGAACAATATTAAAAGCCTGCTCCCAACTTCCATCCTGCTCTCTCAACCTTCTGTCACAGTCTAGAATGGCCATGAAATAGCACCCCAGGCAGGCTGTACACATAGGGACTAAAGATGGTTGAACACTTACCACTTCGGCTCAAGTTCTGCTCACTCATTGCTATGGAGGAGATGCTCTTTCATCGAACAGTTCAGCTGTTCATAAGCAGCTCAAACCTGTTCAGCGGGTTACTTTTAATATAGTCAAAAAGTACAGTACAATGCAATTAGCAACATTTAACACATGAACATTGTAACATATCACATACATAGACCTGTTACTGCTACATGCTGCGTGGCAGCCAAATTTTAAAAGGAGTGAGGAAGCTAGTCAGTCAGCCAATGAACATAACTATGGTTTTTGTTTTATAAGTTTTACTCTTCCGTGCTCATTTTCACATAGCTGCATGGGAATTGTATCTCCTCCCATGTCATTAGACCATACATGACACTGTGGGAGAGTCAATTTCACCAACTGCACAGATGCAAAAGCACTCCAAAAAGACTGGCACTACAACCATCAGCTATCATCTCTCTATATAATAATTCTGTTTGGGTCATGGACTCTCCTGAACATTCCACAAGCTCCCAAATCATCTGGCTCCCTGATCTGTCACTCAGAAGCTGTCCCTATCCACTGGCTGCGTTGCCTGAGTCTCACCTCCAATATTCTAAACCGTTTGCTGTTCCCCCCCCCAATAGCCAGTTGGAACCAAGAGGTCATTTGCATATGATTGGCCTTTGCCTCCAACATTCTAAACAGTTTGCTGTTGGGAGTCACTGAATGTGTCCTGAGGTAAAATACATATCTCAATTTTCCTTTAAATGGTCACGGGAGTTGCCAATCTCCCTGTGGGGCCTGGAGATCTCCCAGAAATCACCGTGTTCCCCAGCCACAGCATATCATTTCTCCCACAGAAAATTTCCCAGCTACTACAATGGCTGCTTTGGGCAGTGGACTCTATGGCATTATACCCTGCTGAAGTCCCTCTGCACCCCAAACCCTGCCCTTCCCAGGCTATACCCCCCAAATCTACAGGTCTGGCCCTCCCTTTAGTATTGCCAGCCTCCAGGCAGCACCTGGAGATCTCCAAGATCAGTTCTCCTGGAGAAAATGGCTGCTTTGGGCAATGGACTCTATGGAATTACACCCTGCTGAGGTCCCTCCGCACCCCAAACCCTGCCCAAGAGCACTCCCAGGCTCCTAACCTCTGATGCTGGCACCAACAGCGCCCCATCAAAGGTCAGGAGTGGGATGCCTGCCCTTGGACTGCCCTGACTCAAGCACCGGACCTCCATCTTCATCAGATTCAATTTCAGTTGGCTCAGTCTAAGCCACCCAGCCACAGCCTGTAACACCCGGTCCAGAACTTCCGGTTTAGAGTCACACTGGCCATCCAACAACAGATAGAGCTGGGTGTCATCCACATACTGGCAATCTGGGCAAGGGGGGCATATAGATGTTAAATAGCATCAGGGAGAGCACCGCCCCTTGAGGCACTCCACAGTTTAGTGGGTGCCTTCGGGACAGCACCTAGTGCAGCCATAAAGCTGTTTGGCAGATGTTTGAGTGAGATGATGGTGAGGTAAGGAAATCTGAAGTTCAGCTCAGAAATGAATGTGACCAGTCTTTACATTAAGTTGTGTGGGTGGTATATTTTCCAGACTCCAGCCTTTAACTATAGGTACATTACCTTCTTAGCCTGCTCACATGATTGTTCAACTCTGTGACAACTACAGTTTTCCCAGGCTTACTTTCATCCATAACAACCACTGATAAGATACAAGTGTGCATATTTATATGATCATGTACTGAACAGGATTGGCTTTCTGGTCCCAATCAGCAAGCTCGAGCCAGTGCAGTTGGATAGCAGAAATCAGGCTCCGGTCACACTGTCCGGAAAATGCGGGGGGGGGGGGGGGGGGCGGTTTGCCCATTCCGCGGGAAGCCTCGGGTGAGCCACGGGAGCTCTACACTTCCCAGATGTGGCGGTGAGATCGCGCCCGGAAAATCCGCCTATCTTCTGTCCCTGTAGCGTGGCTAATGCTCCGTGTGACCGCAGCCATCAGTGTACTGAATTCTTCTCTTGGCATGACATTGTGGTCCAGGGGTGTAGCCAGAAAATTTTGGGTGGTGGGGGCATTGGGAAATCCTGGGTGGGGGAGAAGACTTCCTCCCACCTCACCGACTGTTGGAGAGGTGTGGGCTCGCTGGGTTTTCTTCTTGCTTCTGCAGCTGAAGTCAGCTGCAGAAGCAGGAAGAAGACCATGGCCCATGTCTCTCTGACTGTCATAGGTGGTAGGGGTGCCCTTCCCAGTGCTGGGGTGGGGGGGCAGGGGCAGTGGGCATGGTTAATGGGTGAGGGGGCATGGCCCAAAAATATCCCACCATAGCTATGAACTTGTTGTGGTCTAGTATGACTGGAAGATAGCACAAACTGACTCAAAATCATGGCTCTCATGGGCCCAAATGGCCACAAAAAGGACCATCCGTGGCTGGGCTGGGCATGAGCATGCCTGGGTCCAAAGATTATTTTTTCAAGAGAGGGCAGACCACTGCTTCCTTGTGTGCCCTAGGGAATAGTCCCTCAGCGAGGGACTTGGTAATGATCTCCCTTAGGGCACCTCGAAACCCATCACAGCCAGCTTTAATTAGCCACGACGGGCACGGATCTAGGCAGCATGTGGTGGGACGTAAAGCCAAGAGCCATTTGTCGACTTCCTCTAGACTGAGTGGACTGAAATGGTCCATAATCTGACTCAAAGACATGCATGGAGCCTCGAATTCGCTCACTGTCTCAAATGGAGGGGGCATGGCCCAAAAATATCCCACCATAGCTATGAACTTGTTGTGGTCTAGTATGACTGGAAGATAGCACAAGCTGACTCAAAATCATGGCTGTCATGGGTCCAAATGGCCACAAAAAGGACCATCCGTGGCTGGGCTGGGCGTGAGCCTGCAGACGCAATCGTAGCCACATAAAATTCTCTCTTCGTGGCTTTGACTGCCATCTCATAGGATCTCATAAACATCCTATAAGAAGTTTTTGTAGCTTTGTCGCAGGCACACTGCCACTGTCCTTCTAGCCGTCTTAGCCCTTGTTTCGTAAGCCACAATTCCTGGGTGAACTGGGGGCGAGCCTAGAGCAAGGGCACAGAGGACATCAGGGAGCAATTTCATCGATGGCTGTCGAGAGCTGCTAGCTAGATGCAAACTAAATACTTAGGGATGGCAGCAGTGTTCATATTAATATATTCTGTGGTCTGCCTTGCTCATCAGTTTCTTGGTCTCTGTCATATACATGCGGCAGGCATGGGCTGTAGATGGTGGAGCCAGGGAACAGGGCTCTGTGATGTTGGTGATGATGTTGTTGGTGGTGGCAGCTCCTTAACCAAAAGCCTCGGGTGAAACATTCAGACGGGTCTTCAGGGCAAGGTCATCTGACCACGGCAGTAATCTGGTCCACTGTAACCCCCACCGCGAAGATCAAATCAAGCATGTGGCCAGCCCGGTGAGTGGGGGTCATTATATATTGGGACAGTCCTAGCACTACCATGGACGACACCAGATCCATTGCCTGAGTGGAGGTTGCATCGTCAGCATGGGCATTGAAATCACCCAGGATTATCAGTTTAGGATGTTCCAGTGCCCAGCCCGATACGGCCTCCATCAGGGATAGGAGGCTGTTGGCTGATGCGTTGGGCAGTTGGTACACCAACCAAATCACCAAACTCTCCCCGGCCTCCCACACTGGGCCAACACACCCAGTGGTGGGAGTGCCCTGAAGGAGTAAGCCTCCCAAATGACTAGAGCCACTCCTCCCATCTGCCCCCTAGTCTGCGATTGGTGAAGGACCGAGAACCCAGGAGGGGCAAGCTGGGAGAGAGCTACTATCTCCCCATCCCGCACTCAGGTCTCGGTCATGCATGCCAGGTCAACATTCTGCTCACGCAGGAAGTCCTGAACGACCATGGTCTTATTGTTTATAGACCTGGTGTCAGAAGATCTGACTCTTTCAAACTTGTACATTCCTAC